TTGTTTCTACTAAAAGAGGTGTCGACCAGCTGGGGCAACAAGAAAATCGGTGAAATCGAGTGTGACTATTAAAAACTAAATCATTATTTTATTAATATTGACAATAACAACCGACCGTCGGGGTAGCAGTTGCCGGGGAGCGTTCTCATGGCGTCTATTATCAACGCTATGGGAGGTCTATGAATGTCTATGGGACGCCCTGCCCGTTGAAAACTGACTTCCGAGGGGTACCCTGNTTGTGTTTATTTGGACAATAGCTCAAATCTCTGGAATGCTTGCATAGTAAAAAAAGAGTGCTGTGCGTTACACATGCTTAGGGCAGATGTGTGCTTGTTTTCATTGCAGTAAAAACAAGCACACATCTGCCCTAAGCATGTGTAACGCACAGCACTCTTTTTTTACTATGCAAGCATTCCAGAGATTTGAGCTATTGTCCAAATAAACACAAAGGCTTCACCCCTCACATCTCCAGCTTCTGGCCACACAGATCACTATTATTTGATACAAAGTAATTAAACACACACATATATTTAAGCAAACTCATATCTGGATACTGACAACACAGGTTACCTTAATAATCAATAGTTGCCAGGCAACAGCTTTGGTTCATGTTAATTTACAAACTCTTCAACTACAACCGTAGTTATATTTAAAAACATGTTAGGCTGTATTTATACCATAACGGTGCACAGCTGATAGAAAGGGACACCTGGTGGTTAAAGCACGTTATTGCTTTTTATTGTTAGATATTAATAGGAGGATGTGCACAACAGACAAACTAATAACGCTTTATTTGCACATTAAAGAATACTTTAGGTTAAGGTCTTCTTTTGAATAAGAAAAAAGCTTTGGGGCATAGAAGAATATGGAGGGATGAAACCCTCTTTAATGGTCACACATGAAGAGCACACAGCACAGCACATACAGTGAAATCTGTATCTATAGATAAATATAAACATGACAAAGTACTTAACGTCTAATATATTGCTTTTCTGCAATGTTAACTATGTTTAAGCACTTATTTTAACTGATATAATACATATGTATTATACTCTTATAAGATGTATGTAGATAGTATAAGAAATGTGCAGAATATGACAGTTTAATGGTGGAGGTATACACACATATTGATAGATGTCTTGTAATGCACTGTTGAGGAACCTGCGACCCAAGTTTTTCATTCATTGCATAACTACACCGTAGTTGTGTATCATATTATGTCAATAAACCTTAGAAAATCTTGAAATCTTGAAAGGGATGTGCAAAATAATCATTATATACAGTCTTTAATTAACTATTAGTAGAGAATAACGAGTAATTAATATACTTTATAGATATCCTATTAATATATAATAATAAAATAATAATACAATTCAATAACGTGCTTTAACCACTAGGTGTCCCTTTCTATCAGCTGTGCACCGTTATGGTTGTAAATATAACATATCTACCAATTGGATCAAATATAAAAGTCAGCCGAATTAGTGTTGATACTGCGAAGAGACGTATTGTGTGAAAAGAAATGTAAGATGTTGTTTAATTGCTTATATATATGATCCACGTCACATTTTCAGTTTTGGCGGCAGTTCTTCCTGTTTGTCTAGAAGTCTTCTCAGCAGGGCTCTATAAATAGAGAACTACGGCAGATATGCAATATTTGATGCAGCCGAACCGTGTATTACAATAGCGTTATGTGATGACTTTCAAAGAGAAAAGCAAGCACACTCCGAATAAAGTATTATTTTATTTTTAAAAAATGTTTTCGGATTTCACATCGCATAAACACCAAATCCCAGCGTGCATTGCGGCTAAATCATCCAATCATTGAGCTGAGGATCTTGCCTACGTCTGTTTCCGGTTTCGTTTATGACGGATGT